ACCTAGGGCTGGTGCTGCCCCACTTCTGAGTCTCCCCTCCTGCACTCCATGTCCCCCCTTGCTGGGTCCCTCCTGCAACCTGACACCCCACCTTCTGAGTCTCCCCTCTTTCACCCCTTGTCCCCCCACTTCTGAGTCTCCTGCACTCCATGATCGCCAACTGCTGTGTCCCCCCTCCTGCACGCTGATAACCTCACTTCTGAGTCTCCCCTTCTGCACCCCAAATCCCCCCACTTCTGAATCTCCCCTCATGAACTCCATGTCCCCCAACTGCTGGGTCCCCCCCTGCACTGGTAACCCCACTTCTGAGTCTCCCCACCTGCACCCCAAATCCCCCAACTTCTGAGTCTCCCCTACTGCACCCCATGTCCCCACACTACTGAGTCTCCCCTCCTGTACCCCCATGTCCTCCCACTTCTGATTCTCCCCACCTGCCCCCCATGTCCCCCCAGTGGTGGGCCACCCCTCCTCCACCCCATGTACCCCCACTGCTGGGTTCCCCCTCCTGCACCTCATGTCCCCCCACTTGTTAATCTCCCCTCCTGCACCCCATGTTCCCCACTTCTTTGTCTCCATTGACCACATCCATGCAGGTTCCCTCTGACCGTGTGCCCACCCTGCTTCAGGCTCTCCATAGCTCGCTGGTGCTGTTGAAGGAGAGCAATAGCTACCCTGAGTTTTGTGTCCCCATTTATGTGGTGCCCCCCACCATTAGCAACAACGTCCCAGGCACAGACCTGAGCGTGGGCTGTGACACCTTCTTGAATGTGGTCATGGAGGTAAGAGCTTCTCTGTTTGCCGTCGTGGTTTGTTTCTTTGCTGCAAGAAGACAGCCCATCAGGTGGAACCCGTAGGGTCTGTTTTTCCCCCTCCAGGAGAAACGGAAGGGGGACCCCATCCGATCTTCCAGGACAAATGAACCCAGTTTATCATCAGCTCAAGTTTGCGTCACTTCCCACCCAGCTTCTCTGTCTCTGGGTCGGAGAGGTCAGCCCCCCTGTGCCAACTAAAAATAGGCTGTTCCATGGGTGCTCTGGGTGATCCCTGTTCCTGCACCCCCTGGACCAGAGGCCTGAGGTGCCGCCCACTGTGGTGAGGCTGCTGCCTGGTCCCCAGGTGACGAGCTGGCTGCGTGGTCCGCTGGAGGAGACGGGACATGGAGCAGGTTGGGGTGGGGGAGTCCAGCAGACTACAGGCCATGGGGAGGAGACGCTCTTCCTTGTGGTGTGAGGGCGCTGCCCTCGGGGGCTTCGCCTGCAGCCCCACCCCTCCGCATCCAAGTGGGGGTCCAGCAGCTCAGGTGTCACCCGTGCTCTGTCTTCGGGGCCAGTGCCTTCGAGCCCCGCCCACCCGGCTTCTGCTCTGGGGTGTGTCCTGCCCCATCGAGACCCCACCCCTGCAGAGGTTCAGAGCCCCCTGTGCTGAAGGGTTCTCACGCTCAGCTGGACACAGACACCTGGAAATGAGCAGTTCAGTGCAGGCTCTGACTGCAAGGTGGGGAGGCCGTCACCAGGATCTCTGCCGTCCAGGCCGATGGGCACGTCTGGAGCATTCTGCTCCCCAAGATGGGGGCTCTGTGGGCCCAACATGTAGCCTCTCCACTTCCATCAGGTAGCACATTGGGCTTTATGTTTACAACACCCATGTGGCAAAATGTGAGCAGTTCTGGGACTTTGAATAACTTGAGGATTTTCCTCCAGTGGAGAATTCCCGGGGATTTTTCTTGGGGAATCCTCTGTCGCCGCCAGAGGGCGCCAGCGCTGGACGAGAGGGGATGTTCCCGCAGTGGCCATGGAGTCAGGGCTGGTCCGCGCCGGGCAGGGGCGTCGGCCCTCCTGGATGCCCTCCTCTCACCCCAGAAATCAGAGCCAGCCGGCCCTGTACCACCCACCAGGGACTGGGGCGCACGGTCCTGCGGCCTCTTCCATGCCAGCCCTGCTCTCAGCAATTGGATGAGACGCTGCCGGGAGGACTTGCTATTTTTAGATCAAGTGAACTCAAGCCTCAGACACAACCTGGGTGAATGAGAGAGTTGACAGGGGTTTAAGCGCCTGGCTCCCCGGGGCTCCCAGCTGCCCAGGCCAGGTCAGCTGCCAGGCGCCCGCGGTGGCTCCCTCTTCACCGTCCCTGAGTCGGGGCCGAGACGCAGGTACTTGCCTCAGAGGAGAGGGGCTTTGCCGTCAGGTGGTTACAGTGCTGCTCTCTGCGATAGTGACAGTGACTCTCCGCCTTCAGTGTCAGGCTGGGTCAGGAAAGGAACCCACATTACCTGCAGCTTGGGAGGGGCCTGTGCACCCCCTAGCCCTGAATTCCTCTGAGACAAAGACCAGGCAGGAAGGTTTAAGTGCTCGAAGGCCACGTAAAGGAGCCCATTGAAACCCTCCCGCCCCCTGTGACCCCCGCACTGCCAGGAACCCACATCCCCGCCTAAGTACCGGGAAGACAAGATGGGTCACGTTGATGCGATTTCTTCTTCCTATCTTGGCTCCTGGAGAACGCAGAGCTGCCCACTGGCTGAAGCGCGCACTGAATTTTGATTAAATCAATCTAACTATATGGGGAGGGTGACGATCCATCAAACACATTGAAAGTATAGTAAGGAATAGATGGAAGGGAGCCTGTGTTTGTTCATCAAAATGCTCCTTCTCGTTTAACCCGAAGCACTGGAGTGAGGACCTCCACATTGGTGGTGTTATACTTTGGTGCACAAACCTCTTTTCCCCGAAACGTGACCCCTGGTCTCCCAAGCCCCCACCCCCCATTTAAGATTTCACTCTGGACTCAGAGCTGTTCGGACTGATTTAGGGAACCCTGTACGGTTACCCATGACTGGTTGATGGATGGGGCAGGATGCTGTCTGCTTTTCTTTCTTTCATTGTCAGACACTTACTGAGCGCCGCTGACTGTGTGATTCCCATCTTCATGGGATTTGCAGTCTAGCGAGGAAGGCACCCCACCCCCGAATCAGAGAATTACTGAGTTGCAGAAACCTGCGCTGTGGTGACTCCTGTGGAGAGAGGCCTCGAGGTGTCACCAGAGCCCCTGGCAGAGGGGACCTGGGGACCTGCAGTCCTGGCGACCACGCATCCTGAATTTCATTCCCACATAAGGGCTCAGCCTCAGGTTCCAGGCACGAGGCCCTGGGTGTCTTTGGGGGCCGCAGTCCAGCCCCAACGAGCAGGCTGTGAGAGGCCCCTGGGGCAGGCGGTGGGGGAGACTGGTATGATGCTCCTGAAGGGCTGAGCGAGGCCAGATGCAGACACGAGCGTGTGTGGTGGACAGACCAGGGCAGGGGTCTTGCAGGCTCCCCCGAGAGAGGACGGTGGCTGGACGGGTTTCTGTGTCCCCGAGGGCCCGGTGCAGGCGTTTCCTTGGGGTGGGGGGGGGGTGGGGACGACCATCTGTGTATCGGCAAGTCTTCCGGGGGCAGGTCTGGAACCATCGTCTGGCTCTGGGGAGAGATGCCCCATGGGAAGTAGTCCAGGGATAGGCTGAGGACAGCCAGGTCCAAGCGTCCACGGGGCTTTCCACGAGAAAATAAAGCAAGGGATTTGCCCGCTGCCCGAGCCCGGCAAGCCCGGCAGCGCAGCCCCGCGAGGCCGCGGGCAGAGGGCGCAGGGGCCCCAGCGCACCGACCGAGGTCAGGGCCAGGCTGTAGGATGATGTCCCACGTGGCCTGACCATGTCCTTCTGTGCAGACGTGTGACCGCATCAAGCAGTCGGCCAGCGGGACCAAGCGCCGTGTCTTCATCATTGAGACCATGGGGGGCTACTGCGGCTACCTGGCCAACATGGGGGCGCTGGCTGCCGGCGCCGATGCCGCCTACATCTTCGAGGAGCCTTTCGACATCCGGGACCTGCAGGTACGCAGACACAGGGCTGGGGGCGCTGCCGCCTGATGGGTCGACAGAGGCGTTGGTGATGCGCCAGGTTCGGACACCCGCCGCCCCGCCCCCCGCCTCCTCTGACAGCGCTCACACCAGTGACGCGTTAGGGCTCTGTCCGCGGTGACAGGGTAACAGCAGGAACAGACACATTTCAGGGCACCTGCTGCTCTTTAACCCCAGCTTGTAAGTTTCTGTCTCTTACACTCTTGTCTACGAAGCAGTTATCGCCCTTCCTGGGAAGGCCCCACACCCACAGGGATGCGGACGTGTTCAGGGGGCCCGGTGCTTTGCCGGCTGATGGCTACGGATGTCCAGGCTGTGGGGTACACACAAGGCCAGAGCTCGGGTGTCCCTGTGGGGCTGAGTGGGGCGAAATGTGCAGCAGCTGGAGGACAGCACCCCTGCCCAGAGGAGCCCCTCGTCCCCCGGGACCGCAGGACGTAATGAGGGCTGCCCAGAGCCCACCGGGGAGGCCTGACCAGGCAGGGACGCAGCAAAGTAGGTGTTTTCAGCTAAAACCAGGACAGGAAATACACTCACTACCTGCAGCGTGCTTCTTTCTAAAAATGTTTGCTTTTGTGTCGCTCTCTCCCTTTCTTGCACATTTCCTTTCTCAAGACACAACAGTCCTTCCTTAGAAAATTTGTGCACCGATTTGAGTCTCTAGGTTTCTCCTGGCCTGAAAATGCTTGGTAGGCAGTTTTACGAGTTTCTGTATAAAGTCAGGTAACAGGTATTTTCCTCTGAGATAGAAAATCCTGTCACGGAAATGGATCAGTAGCCGTGGGGGAAAGTAGCAGCTCTAGGCGAGTACATGGAATACACACACTGATGTGTTCAAGGGAAACGTTCATCTGGGCAAGCGTCTCCCATGGACGCCATGCATGGCACTGACTCAGTGACACCCCCCTCCCCCTGCCGTGGCCTGCTGGGTTACAGGTTCCCTGGCGTTTGTCACTAGCTGATACGTCACGCATCTGCTGTCCTCTCTGCTACGAGGTGAACTCGGAGCAGCTGCCCCGACTTCCCCGCTGCCACTGTCACAGGGCCGGACAGTACCCGGCACACAGTAGGCGCTTAATAAAAGTGTCCTAAGGGAACACTCTTTCCTAGTCCAACGTGGAGCACCTGACGGAGAAGATGAAGACCACCATCCAGAGGGGACTCGTGCTCAGGTAAGGGGCCTCTGGCTGCCCCCAGCTGCGCCCCGGCTGCTCAGAAAGAACCCGCTTCGCCTAACCCCCCGCGAGCGGCCCCTTCTCTGCACGATATTGCTCTGAATCCTGGAGAAATGAGCGGAGTCACTGTGCTGCTTTGTGTTCAGAATTGCGGGCATTTAAATAATTGGACGGTGATTTTTAAAAATTCATTTTTGCTGTGTAGCCAGTTTTCTTAAGATTCTGCAAGTCATTTCGTTAAGCTACTGACCTTGATAGGGAAGGCCACGTGCAGCGGCGGGCAGGATGGGAGCGAGCTGCCATGTGTTTCAGGAACGAGAGCTGCAGTGAGAACTACACCACCGACTTCATCTACCAGCTCTACTCAGAGGAGGGCAAGGGGGTGTTCGACTGCAGGAAGAACGTGCTGGGTCACATGCAGCAGGTGGGCCACGGGCTAGGGAGGCGGCCAGATGCTTCTGACTTTTCTCAGATGGGTGTCCTACTTTAGCCATTTTGGAAAAGAATGTGTATTCATGGGTAAATTCCAAGATGATTAAAATCCACATCTGAACTGTGTTATCCTTACACCAGGTATCACCAGCCTCAGGAATCCTTTCCACTGTTTGTGCTATCTGGGCAGATGGGCTTTCCAAGGAAAACCATCCACTTTCATATAAACAGTGACACCAGTTGAGTGGACAGACATTCAAATTACGTATTTGATCCAGTCTCAGGCCTTATTACCCATTTAAATTGGAATCTCAGACAGATGATACTTCGAGATTTGCATCAAATTGGAGCGATTTGGGAAGAATCTTGGGGTACACGTATAAATGCACCCAGACGACAAGGCAGGCGGTGGGTGTGGAGGGACCCGGTCCCCTGACAGCAGGCCTGTCCATCACCACCACTCAGTCCTGTGTCTTAGGAACTTGTAGCTCAGGGCCCATTAATGCACTGAATCCCCTGAAACTACATAATGGACTGGTGGGCGTGTGTGAGCCTTTGTGAAAGCGAGCCCACAGAGTTGATCAGATTCTTAAAGGGACCGTGACCACCCCTCCCCACCCCCGTAACCTACCCCAAAACAAGGTTAAGGAATCCTGCTAAAGATTCTAAAGTAACAGAGATGTTCCTTGACCGGTTGGTTGATTAAAAGCCTCCTCCTTCGGGGAAGCACTGAAATGCCTGACGAGCTGGGCTTTGGCTGCAGGAGTTATGGGGTTTGTTTTGGTTTGTTTGGTCCCAGCCATATACAAGGAGATAGAAATATGCAACAAAACCCCCCCAAAACCCATATTTACAAATCTGAGTCTCTCAGAAATGTGATGTGAATTTTGTTAAATAGTCATTTTAATTTCTATTCCATTTTAAAAAACTAACAGCCAGAAAGGTGTCGCTGTGTAACTAACATTCAGGTAATTCTAACCACCAACAGGGTGGGGCGCCTTCTCCATTTGATAGAAACTTTGGAACCAAAATCTCCGCCAGAGCCATGCAGTGGATCAGCACGAAGCTGAAGGAGCCGGCGGGGAGAGGTACCAAGTGGGCAGCGGGGCGGCCGCAGCGCTGGGGGGGCCGTGCTCTGGGCCCCCGTTTCTCCCTGGCTTCCACCCGGCCTTTGACTGCATGGGACAGAATCAGCTCTCACTCAACTCTGTGGCTGCTGCTTAAGACTCAGGTTATAATTAGGAATAAAAGTAATTAATGAAACAAAATGCTCATTACTGAGGGAGGCGTTCCAGTCACGTGGCAACATCTGTCTTCCTTTAATGGAAAACTGCCAGCTCGTGAGTGTAAGGTCGGATCTTAACAAACACCACCGCGAAACAGAGGAAAGCTTCAAGTGAGCTTTATTAGGGAGCGCTCCCGGGCGAGGTTCACTGGTCCGAGGGAAAGAGGCCAGAGAAGTCGCACCCGGGCGAGGGTTGGGCAAGACTTTAGAGGGGAAGAAGGGAAAGGGGTGTGGTGAATCTGGGAGGGCGCAGGGTATTCCTTATTTGGTGGTCTTTTCGGGTATCCTGGGGGACCGTTAGTCCCGCCCCTCGAAAGGCGGGAAGGCTGGGCTGGGTTCAAAGTCCCCAGGTCAGTTCCTGGAACTGGGTCGTCCGGAATGTCTCCAGGGCAGTTTCTGGAACGGGGTGGTCCGGAGAATTTCGGTCTGATGCAACCTGTGAATCTGATTGTGTTCCCCTGCCTCGGGCCAGTTGGCCTTACAGTGAGGGCTCCGCTAGCAAGACTCCAGATGGGAGCTTTCCTGGCTGTGTTTCTTTGCCTCGTGGATGCTCTAAACTGGCTTTTACTTAAGATACTTGGCTTCTTCATTGATTCCTTATGGCCTCTCTTTTTGGAGAAAATGACGGAGGATGGGGAGGTGCCTGGACTATGCCCTCCTTGGTGGGTCCTCCCTCCACGTTTGACTCCGTCCTGTCCCACTGGCAGCAACCTCGGGATTTGGTGATGTCATTCCCCGGCTCTCCTTCAGGGTTTGACCTCGTAGGATTAAACCTTCCAAGGCTCTGGTTTTGTGGTTTAGGTGAGAAGCACAGAGTGCGTTTCCCTGTAGGGCCGGCTTCTGAGACCACTGCTGTGGCCCACCCTGGCCCTCCAGCCACCCGGCCCAACCAGGGCCTCTGGGTCCTGCCCTGACCCTGGGCCAGTTCTCCAGACCAGTCTCACCCACCCCAGGCTCGCCTGCAGGACAAGATCCCCTTCCTCCCTGGGCCACACCCGATGGATCTGTCACCTTTGAAGTATTGCTGTGATGCTGGGTGGGACTTGGGTGGGAGTGAGACAGGCCCCACCCCCACCCCCACTGTGGCTGTAAGTGGCTAAACCTCTAGGTTATGAGGGAAATGCCAGGACCTTCCTGCCTATGGATCATTCTTGTTTATTGTTACTGCTTCATGTTATCCGATGATTTGTTTTGTCTATATCATCTTAGGATTTAAAAATATTTTGATTTTAGAGGGATTTTTAATATTTTATAAGGAAGTCCGTATTTTATATTGTTAAAGTCACATGTTGCAGACGTGTGTCTCCCATTTGTGGCAAACCCTGTCATTTTCTGCAAGGTTATCTTTTAATGAGGCACTCTTAATTTTTTTAACATTCATTTTATTTTTAATTTTTTTGGCTGCACTGGGTCTTAGCTGCGGCACATGGGATCTCTCATTGTGGCACACGGGCTTCTCTCTAGTTGTGGCGTGTGGGTTCCAGAGTGCGTGGGCTCTGTAGTTTGCGGCACGCGGCACAAGCTCAGAAGTTGTGGAGCCTGGGCTTAGCTGCCCTGTGGCGTGTGGGAACCTAGTTCCCCAACCAGGGATCGAACCCGTGTCCCCTGCATTGGAAGGCAGATTCTCTACCACTGGACCACCAGGGAAATCCCAAGTGCTCTTAATGTACCCAATTTTTTTAACTCTGTCCTTGAAAATTTGAGCTTTTTGTGTTAGTAAAATATTCACCTTTTACATTTAGCTGTCTAATCCACTTGAACTGATACGCAGTTTAAGGTGTAATATTTTCCATGTGTACAGCTGAGTGCCAGTCATTGAAAAATCTGGTTTTTTTCCTACCCTGCAGTATAAACTCCATCATAGACCAGGTATCCAAAAACTTAAGGCACTGTTTTTGGATTGTTAGGTTGGTGTTTTGGCATTCAGTTACTGATCTGTGCCAATGTTCCAGTTTTGTGATCAATTACTAATATCTGGTAGGGCAAGTCCTACCTGGGCCTTCTTCCAGTTTTGGCTATTCCTGGCCCTTTGTGTCAAGGTCCATCAATTCTGTTGGATTTTTTGTTTTGGGGGTGGTGGTGGTTACATTTAAAAAATCATTTGGAGGAAGAACTGACATTTTTATAGTATTGAACTTCTAACTCATGAACATTTAATCTCCATATATTTAGGCCTTTTGTTATCTTATTAAAGCGTTGTTTTACATAAAGATCTTGCATATCTTTTGATAAGTTTATTCCTGACTTAGTGATTTTAAAAATAAATTATTGTATGGGACTTCCCTGGTGATGCAGTGGTTAAGAATCCCCCTACCAACGCAGGGGACACGGGTTCAATCCCTGGTCTGGGAAGTTCCCACATGCTGCGGAGCAACTAAGCCTGTGCGCCACAACTACTGAGCCCGTGCGCCTACAGCCTGTGCTTTGCAACAAGAGAAGCCACTGCAATGAGAAGCCCACGTGCCACAACAAAGAGTAGCCCCCGCTCGCCACAACTAGGGAAAGCCTGCGAGCAGCAATGAAGACCCAATGCAGCCAAAAATAAATAAATTTATTAAAAATATATATTGCAAATGGTATTAGTTTCTTATAGCTGGTGTACAGAAACGACTCATTTTTGTACACTGATTTTTGCAATCCTTAACTTTCTACACACTCAATTCTAGTAATTTGTAGATAGTTTTTTGGTTATTATCCACACGTATGGCATCTGTATACGACCTTTTGGTTTTTTCCTTGATACTTTTTGTGGGTGTTTGTGTTCCCTCCAGAGAAATGCTGACATAGATAGTGACAGCAGAACTCCTGTCTTGTTCTCGACCCTAATGGCACAAGGAACACCTTCAATGTTTCATGACTGAGAATTCTTACTAATATTTAACTGAAGCCTTTCTTTCTTCAACTTATTATTTGCTGATGGTCTTTGATAGTTACTGGATACCTCTGATGTTCATTAAGTAGTTTTTCAGTTGTGAAGGCTATGATAATAACACTTGCGTCGAATGAGACGATCACTTGAATTTCCTTCAGCTGACTTGCTAGTGCTAAGGCCACCTTGCCTTCCTGGGGTGTGCCCCTGACACCCCCAGCTGTGCATGCTCTTCTCACCGCAGGCTGGCCCCATCCGCTCTGTCCCTGTCCATTGTGGGGGGGGGGGGGGGGGCAGCCTTGTTCTAGCGTCTAAGAGGCTGGGGTGGGGTGGTTCCCTGGGCAGAGCATTTCTAAGGCAAGTTTTGTTTTGATTTTTGGATGTTTGCTAAACCTCTACCTGTATCCCAGCTCTGCTTTCTATGCAGGGAAAGCTGACGGCAGAATTTCTTCAGTGTTTATAGACCTGCTGGTGTTTGTTCCTTGAATCTGTCTTTTATCTTCCACGAAATTCTAAATTTATCTAAATTTTCAGAAAATTTAGCATGAAAATCTTCGTAATACCCTCTTCTTCTCAGTGCCCGCAGCACTTCGTCCTCCCTTCACTCCAGACGTCGGTTATTTGTGCCGATACCTTGACTTCATCCCCTCATTTTCTTACATCATTTTTCTGTCTTATAGGAAAAAGATTTGTAAGTGACGATTCCGTCTGTGTGCTGGGAATAAGCAAAAGAAACCTGCTTTTCCAGCCCGTGGCCGAGCTGAAGGAGGAGACGGACTTCGTGTAAGTGCGCAGGGCCCTGTGGGAGGGAGGCCCACTGGGTGGGGGGCCCAGGCCCTGCTCAGCCGCCCCTCCCCCTCCCACAGGCACAGGATCCCCAAGGAGCAGTGGTGGCTGAAGCTGCGGCCCCTCATGAAGATCCTGGCCAAGTACAAGGCCAGCTTCGAGGTGTCGGACGCGGGCCAGCTGGAGCCCATGCAGCCTCGCGGGCCCGAGGAGCCTGCCACCATCTAGATGCCCCACCTGCCAATTTTGTAACGTTTAAGTTATTTATGAGCACTTTACGTGAGCATCGTCCAAGTGAACCCTGAGCGTGGCCCACCTTCCCCGTCCCCTGGCACAGGGTGTCAGCTGTGCTGTCTTGTGTGTCCTGCTTCACAAACTGCGGCTCCCGCAGAATTAAATATTTGCGAAAAGCCAACCACAGTGCCCGGTTTCTTTGTTTTCTAAGTGGGAGTTGAAAACCTCAGGGTGTGTGAGTGGCTCTCAGGGTTTTGTCAGCAGATACAGGCACATGTTTTCTAGAGAACTGGGGAGCCAGGAGACAGGCAAGGACAGAGGCACCCGGAGGAAAGAGGTGGCGCTCTGACTGGCAGGCGCGTGGGTGACTCACCAAGTGCACCAGGAGGGCCCTGGACTAGGGCGCCAGGTAAGGTGATACCCCTCGGGGCGGGGGTGGATGCGCACCTGAGTCTTTAGACGTGAGCTGAGTCTGCCCCTGCTGTGCACCTGCAGGAGGTGGAGGAGGGAATTCAGTTCCTTTCAAGGCAGGGCCGGCAGTTTCCTTTCAGCCTGACGGGGTGGAGGAGTCAGATCCCGGAGTCAGAGTTGATGCTGTTCCCCAGCCCCACGTCCTCCAGGCCTGTCCACCGCACCCGCTGCCCCGCGGCCTTGGTGCAGCCCCACCACCGGGGTGAGTGGAGAGCAGACGTCAGGACACCTCTGTCCCTTTGCTCGTGCATTTCCATAAAGGTCCTAAAAACTGCTTTAACAAAAGTGATTTAAAGTAATAATGACTATAAAGCATAGGTAGGTCAGAGTCACCTTTTATTTTTAAAATACATGTTCTAGGATTAAGCATTCATAGCATTAGAAAGTCTTAAAAACTATAATCTGTGCATCTCTGGCACTTAGTACATGATTATTTCCTTCTTCAAGACAGAAGAGTTTTCGTCTGACTTGCCAGGCAAAATTGTAATGATATATATGATCACATATACATATGATCAAGAGTTTTGCAAAAAAATAATAATGGTCGGAAAAGCACAGAGCTCAGTGTCAGGAGGCCTAAGGCTGGGCCAAGTCCCATGGAGTCAGGGTCATCTGCTATCTAACTATCCACGACGGGTCCTTGGTAATGCTCTCATTGTCTGGTCCGAGCACAGCTATGCCATGTGTGCTCCTCCCGGCGCCCAGGTACCTGCAGGTGGACGGGTGGGGGTCACCCAGGCAGCAGCAGGGGGCGCAGGGTCTGGGCACTAAACCACCTGGCCCCTACTCACCTGTTGCTCACGTCAACCAGATCTTCGTGGCTGACAGCGAAGAGCTGCTCGCGGTGCGCCTGCTTCGCCTCATCCGAGAGGCCATACAGGAAGCAGTCCAGGCCTGAGTGAGCACAAGCGACAGGATGGAGGGGCATGTGGCCACCTTGGCCCTTTACAGCCTGTTTCCACCAAAGGTCACACCACTGCCCGTCACGCGCCCGCTCTCCTCCCGACTCGGCTGAGATGCACGGTCTCGTGGAGGCTGGGAGGGCGCGAGCCCGGGGAGCCGCGTGGGGTCCCGGCTGTTGACACCACGGCTCGAGGCACGCTACCTATGCCAGATACCTTTGTCTGAAGGAGCTACCGGAGCATCCACGGCGGCGAAGACAGAGAGCTTTGCCTCGTTGATGTCCTGCTGCGTGAACCTCCCAGACTTCGCCCAGTCGACGGCCCTCAGGAAGGACTGCAGCGTCTCCGTGGAATGCGGGTCCCTGGAGACCCAAGGAGTCAGACTCACATGTTTAGCAGAAAAAGTATAGGGGACACCCAGGCACGACTTCAGTTCTTCCATGCTTCGGGGTTGTTAATGCTGTTTTAACAGTCCAGACAACCCAGTACTCTGGAAATTGACATGTGGCCACACAAGCCACCGACACTCTCCGTGCAGACCTCACCTGTCACCCGCACTTTGCCACCTGATCACTGACTACACTGCTGTGTCCCAGGACAGGAGAGCCGGGGGACCGGCCAGAAGGAACAGAAGACGCTCATAAGATGCACCCAGACGGCGCAATGATCACCCCTCAGAGGCCAGTTTCCAGGGTCCTCCCCTGAACAGAAAGAGCTCCAAGGCCCCTCATTCACACGTCCTGAGGGCATCTTGTGGGAAACGCCTCGTTTTTCATGTCCCTCGAGACCCGCAGCCCCTGCATGACCACATCAGTCCATGTCACGGGACATGAAGCAGTCGGGGGCGGCAGCAGGGCCACAGAACAGAGACGTAAAAGGGCGGAACAGTCTGGGCCTGAAGACCTAGCCCAGCCCCGGAGAGCTTCCAGGTCATCTTACACACCCTGGTTACCAAACCCCAGAGCTATTTTCTGTCCCCTCCCGCTGTCCCTAAGGCCTGCAGCCTAAACGACCTTGCTGGGTGGGGTTACACGCCGGCCCAGCGAAGACAGGGGAAGCGTTTTTCTGAAGATCACTCCGCGTGAGAACACTGGGGCCAGACGGCCCGACTCACCTGTATGAGTAGAGCGTGAAGATCCCGCCGTAGCTGAGTCTGGCGCCTCCACCATAAGCACCGCCTTTTTCTCGAATTTCCGTGTGCAAAAATTTCGCTGTCATCAAGCGTGCCAGGATCTTGAGACTGAAAAAAACAACGCAGCTGGCAGGGCAGTACTGAATATGTAACACACAGCAACCCAAGACAATGGCAAGTGTGTCTGAGAACAAAATTTAGAACCAAGTAAAGTGATACATACATCATGACCCTTCTTAAATTTTAAAATAGGAGAAAAACATGAGGAAGATGAACTTTCAGAGGCTTGGGTGACGGAGACAGGAACTTCCCTCCTGCTTGACCTGCTGCGGCACACGGAACATTTAGCAGTGAGTGGTTTCCATGATGCGGGCGAACGTGTGGCCTATCACTTACTTAAACCCCTGTGTCAGCTGTGCGCTCATGCGTGTACACACGAGGCGTCCCTCCCTCAGAAAACACTCTAACAGCGTGAGCTTCTATCAGGGGTCCCACGTCCCCAAGGCTTCCATCGTGAGCAGTGACAGCTGCTGCCCCAGCACAGCCGAGGTGGTTCCGGAAGGACAGCAGCCAGGCCGACCCGACGGGGGCCTTGCCCACTCACGCCCCCCAGCCCCTCGACTGGTCTTTTCTACAACAGAGCAGGCAACGCAGGCAGAGGGGACGCGGGTGGAGGAGTGAACCCGAGGCTCCGGGAGAGGGTGGAGACCCCGTGCAGATAGGCCCTGATCCCCAACAGGGACAGGGGGGTTCACCCTCCACGCATCTTTTTTCAGAAACTTATTTCTGTTACGTAAGGGAAATTATAAAATACAAAAGAATGGAAAAAACACCTATGATCCCAGCACCCAGGAGTAGGTAGGTACCTCTTGTTTTTGTTTCTGAACCTACATCTTTCTATTCAACATTGAAACACACGTTCCTACTCCTGAGGGCCTGGCAGAGTGTCTGATTCCTGTAAACACGGAAACAAGCTGATGGAAAAGCGGAGCTGTGATGACACTTCCCACAGACACACTTTCCCGTGAGCCCGGTGGCAGCACCGCACCTGCTCTGCACCCACCATTAAGCGTCCCGGCGGAGCCCCACCCCCTCGCACCTGGCGTGGGCCGGGGCCGCGTACGGGGCAGTCCGGATACACTCGGCTACGTAGTTGACCGGGAACGGGAGCTGGAAGTGCGTCTTCATCGGGCAGGGCTTGAAGGTGGGGTCCTAGGGGCAGAGGCCGTCACCACGTGTGGCCCAGGGGCCAGCTGGGCAGGTGCCCCCGAGTACCCAGCCCCCCCGCACTGTGACACCCTGGGTGGCACTAGCCACGTCCCCACATGTAACAGCCAGGCACTGATGACCTCGTCCTGCACAACCTCACCTCACAGCTGAATGAGGTATCCTACCCCCAACCCAGACTCCCCTGGGACCATCTCATGCCATGCCACTCCCAGGGCAGTGTGTGTGACCTTGCTCGGTCACTCCCCAAGGACAAGCCAGGCCAGCCACCAGAGCTCAGGGGCAGCAGGGCGCACAGGAGGGGAGGTGACCCCTATGTGGCAGTGACGTTTAAACACAGGTGGACTGAACACGAGGCGTCCACACAGACAGCACCTGGCGGTCCTACCCGACACCACCCAGCTGGTGACGGAAGGGCACACGGATGCGCAGCAGGCAGGGCATTAAGCAGAAGGGACTCACCGTCACCAGCTTCCTCGTGAATGGGGAGTGCCTGCCAGGTCCCTTAGGTGCAGGTTTCTGAAAGTAAAATGTTTCCCAGAGAAATGAGTAAATACCTAAGCTCACGTGGGCAGGTAAGGTACGTTCTAGGAAGTGCACAGAGCTCACGACAAGCGTCAGGGTACATCTGCTCAAGGCTCCCAGCTCTGAGGCTGCTGCATCCCCAGCCCAAGTGGTCCTCCAATCAGGAGACTTCACTGCAAGGCTCAAGTGGCTACAGGGGAGCACAGGATCGAAGGCCAAACTACAGGGTTTGGATTCACTGGGGTTCCTGGCCCCACGGGCAGGCGGGCGGGCAGGGGGCACAACCTCACCTCCACCACATGTGGGCGCGCAGGCTTCCACTCCTTCTTACTCCGGCTGAGAGTCCTGAGGAAGTTGTCCACCGAATTCTCCACCTGAGACATTTGCTGGGGAGTAGCATTCACGGAACATCTGTTTTAAAAAGTCTATGTGCAGAAAACCATTACTATGAAAAATAAAAATGTTACATTTTGCATAATTAAAACAAAAATGACTCACATACAAAATAATGCTCAAAAGTGTAAAAACGTTTACATGTAAAAACAAAAACCGAATAAAACAGCAGCCAAACAAGGCAACACTACAGCCGTCTTCCTTCACCACGTTTTCCAGGTACAAAAAAGCCTGTCCCTTATCTCAGTGTGTTACAGACAATAAGCAGCCAGCTCCGCTAAACTCTGTGCTCTCCTGAGAACAAGGAGGACGCAGAGACTAGATCTCCAACAGTGCCTTCAGGGCTACAGTATCAGAGTAATTATTGTCTGGAACAGAATGAACCAGTCATTAAAGTAGAAAAGTGTGAGTAGGCAAAGAACTGCCACGCTCCCCAAAAACATTTCTCTGTGGCTCTTCTGAACTCTACAGAATCACAGACACCATCATACATACAGTACACTGACAAATTGTATCCTTTCTGGTTTTGGCCATAAATACTAAGTCTATTTTCGTTGAAATAACAGGTACCATGACAACGTGTTCTAGGCTCTAGACCAACTGCTTTGCAAACATGCTCTCCTTCCTTGCCCTAAATCTGCAAAGGACTATTTCATGGAGGAAACAGAGAAGGGCCCCGTGGTTAAGTTCCCTGAGACTCCAGCCGTGAGTGCACGGGCGGCCCAGGAACTAACTGGGGACCAGCTCTGCTGGCCAGAGGCCCCAACCTCCTGCTGCCCAGATGGTCCGGGAGAGCCTGCTAGTGACTCCCAAGAACTGCCGGGCCAACGTCCTGGGGCGTGTTCCACGGAGGGAGATGCAAGCTCATCTAAGGCAGCAGCGCTGGCGGTGAGGCGGGTGCTGCCACCTCAACAGCTGTCGTCCCCTTTAAGTCTCGTTCGTGTCACAACCTGAGCTGAAGGCCGACCACGTGCAGAGGCTGGTGTTCACCCCAAACTGGTGCACAATTACTCTCACAAGAACCTCTGCGCTTTCACCGTGGCCTCGGGCAAGAGGACCTCGGCGGGGTCTCTCTGATGCTCATTTACGGAACATCGGCTGTTGACTCGTGCAGCAGGGAGTCCACCTGTGGCTCCAGGTTAAAGCAGCCTGCCCTCCTCCCCACCTCCCAAGACACTTGTTCAAATTCTGTATAAAACAGCTCTTTCATGGTTAGAACGTCTGGAGTCTAGAACGGTTCTGTAGTCTCCCAAGCGTTTCCTAAAAGCGTCTACAACTCCACGTAGTGACACAGGATGAGGGTGGAGTCTCTGCTTAGAAACAAACTGCAACCCCACCTGAAGTTATCACGGTTCAAAAGATGCTTCCTGATGCGTGGGAGCTTCCTCAGGATGGGCTTGATGTCCGTCATCTCTGCGATTCTCTTCATGAGCCTCACCTAAGCCAGAGAACTTACAGGTAGAGATAGATGCGCCCTTGGCCTGGACCAGACTTCCCTGATACGGGGTCCTGCGGGGACACGGGGTGGGGCAGCGGCAGGGCCAGGTTCTGTGCTCGTGGGGGACGCGTACTTGCTCGGCTGGGGGGTGGGGGAGGGGCTGCAGGCTGGAAGGAGGAGGGTGAGCGAAAAAACTTTTTCCCCATGAAACTTGGCCAGTTTGAGTGAGCCTTCCTGAGACACGAACAATCTATTACGAGCCCCGGAGACCCAGCCGCCCCTGAGCGCGTCACCTGGTCCATCCCCCCAAAGGTCTCCTGCAGGTCCCCCGCGGGTGCCAGCGTCCTGCCTGCCCTGATGGACGCGTAGAGGTGGCCTGCGTCGGGGACCCCGTTGGACAGCTCCTGAGCTGTCATCTTCACCAGCACTCGGAAGTGCTCCTCGGCCTCAAAGCAGGGGCTGCGGAGAAAGAAAAGGTAATAAATGAGACCCAGCCACGCCCCCTTCAACAGCAGGGAAATTTGCTAAGTGTAGGTTCTTAGATGATGTAAACCGCCCCTGGAGATGTCACGAGTCCACAGGAGTCACGGGGAAAGAAACCAACAACCAACAAAGGCATGCGGCTTCCGCTCCCAGGACCCGGCAGACTCGGGTCTCTGGCATGTCTGGGGATTTACGTCTTTGCAAATACTTACTTGTTAAAGATTTCACTCCACAGATGCATCATGTCTGGTAGGTTTCTATCAAGGCAGAAAGATGAAAAGAGCACACCCTAAATCATGACAGAAGAAAAAGAATAAGAAATTAATTATGATATAATTTAAAGGAAAAAAAGACGCAGGAGAAGCCAACCCTCACCACTCTGTGCTGAGGGAACGGCTACCTGCTCGTAGGTGTCGAGGTGTGAGTCGTCGGGGAGCACGTGGGGGGCGGCAGCCAGGCCCCCCGTCTTCAGGTCCACCTGCTGGGCCAGCTCCCTGTAGTCGAGGGCGCCGCAGCCCAGCCTGTGCAGGGAGAGCGTGGAGTCACCAGGGAGCGCCGGGTTCCCATGCAGCATGTCCCCCCAACCACCGCCTGCCAGCCCAGCAGCTGCTCCCGCCCCCACCCCCACCCCCAAACTCTGCAGGCTGCAGCCGCTCTGGTCAGGTAGTCTTGGGGGTGAAATGTGAAGAATGAGCCTTAAGAAAAGAAAGTCACTTCGACTTCTTTTGTAGGAAACTTTCTAATCGCTGTTCCTAATGTAAGAACTAATTCAAGCCAAGGCGATGACTGAGTTTTCCTGAATCCACGCCGCCGTGGAAGGGCAGGCGGTGGGAGCCATACTGATAAAAGGGCAGAGAACTCGGGAAAGGTTCACCTCCTCCGGGGGTGACCCCAGGCCTACACGTCATATTTAAAGGCTTACATTTTCTGATGAAAATAATCATCTCTTCATAATCTTAAAAAGAAACTCAGTTGTTGAGATATAGCTATATCTGTAATACCTTGTGCTCTACATTTATAAATATTTTAATGTACTGTATTTTAGTAAGAAAGTATGATTACCATAAGGAAAATTCTCAACAAATATACCATCCACCTTTCTGTAACACTACGGGATTTGAAAATTAAAATGACTCACTGAAAATTGATTACTGATACACTGAAACAACACACACAGAAAACATCCACTAATAAATATGAGATGACGTGCAGAGTTCTATAAATGCGTGTCTTCGCCCCAGAAGCAGCCCCTTACTTGGTGAGGACGTTGCAGAAGAGGGGCACATAGGGCCGGAGCTCCTCGGGCAGGGTGTTCAGACTCGAGAAGGCTCTGAAGTAGATCACGCCATTGGTGGGCTGCGTGCAGTACTGGACGGGTGTGTCCCCAGCTGCAGGAGGAAAGGCACTTCTTTATAATTTTTACCAGTAAAGTTTTAACCATGTAACCATCATTTAATATTTTTTAAATGCTAAAGGTTTTCAAGGATGATGGTTTACATTTTATATTAGCAAAATAACACTATTCATTTGCCATAATTCAGACAAATTTCCCTCTTGGACTTTCATTACAACAAAAGCTGAAAGTCTTCAACGCTAAGTAATCCTTGCGCTTCGTGAAAAACGAGAGCAGAGTATGAACGTTCTTGGGGTTTTCTAAACACCCCACAGTCCAGCTGCAGCCCAGCCGCCCTCCCCGCCTGCACCCAGACCCTCCTGGGTATCGGCAGGGACTCTGGCAGGCCACTCCCACAACAGGTGACCTCACTTTCACCCACCCCAAATGCAACTCACCCCCTAACAAGTCCTGTCCCCAAACCCGAGGACCCTCATGACCCACAGCACAGTGGAACCCACCACGCTCGACACCCCAGGCCTCTGTGGCCCCAGGTCCCTCACAACTGTGTGTTCTACTTTTTACACCCCGAGCGCAGTGCCCTGAGAACCAGCGGAGGAGCTAAGGCGCCTACTGATGACAAATCACTTCACTGATTCCTTCCTTGAACACAATGAACTTCATTGATAAACCAAACCTGAGGGGGTTAAACGATCAGTGGCACATGAACCCCACTTCCCAGAAGCCTGGGCCGGAGAGGAGGCCTAATGTACATGCGCAAATGAATGCATCAGGTGTGGTAAACGGGACGGGCCCCGGGACGACAACAACAGGCATGTCACACAAGTCAAAGGGATGCTCGCGCACAGCCTGAATCCTAAACTAGACGCGGGAACCAGTGAAGGTGTAAGGCTGTTGTCAGACCTGCTCAGGAAGGAGCAGCAAAGTCTCATCACAGCCATGTAGAGAAGCATCAGCACCACAGGGCATGTCTGTGTCCAGCAGAAGCGAGTGATGCGCGCAGACGTGGGGGGACGCCAGGAAGGAGCGGTTGCCACCCCCTCCGTGCCCCACAATGCGACACCTAGTGCTGTGGGCCCCTGGACCCCGGCTGGGCTAAGGAGTGGGTGTGGGCAAGGGGCCCAGAGGACGCCTGTGCCCTTGAGAACTGCATGAACACACACATAGCGGAACCTGAGGCCTCCCCGCCCCCAGAGGCAGCTCGGCCCTGTCGGACCCACCCGGGGAAAAACACACACAGGCCCTCGAGTCCACATCTGCCATCGCTGAGCTGGACTAGGAACGGGGCTTGAACGTCCTATGAAGACACCCACTGGTGATTCTCCCCCTGTGGACGCTGAGACACAGCCTAAACCCCAGCCGGGGCACCAAGACCCGCCACCGACCTGCCAGAGCCACCTCCACCTCAGTGAACGGGATGCGGGGCTCGATGTCCGACACCTTCAACGCGGGCAGACACGACGCGTCCTGAGGTTGGCTTTGCTGAGCCTGTAATTCCAAACCTAAGAGGGGAATAAACATCCAGGATGATACTTAGAAGCTCTTACTCAGTTCAGCTCCTATTTATTAACTTACATTAAGACTCAGCCTCTCCCATGCCAAGCGTGGGGAGCCTGTCAGCACTGGGGTTCAGGTTTCCCAGGAAACCAGATTTAGAAGCATAATAACCAGCTCGGCAGGCAGCTCTCTTCCTAATTCTCATTCTCAGCAATTTAAGAGAAGGATTTTGCTGGGGAAAGGGGGGAGCAGTTTGCTCCAGCAGTTTCCCCTCTGCCCCCAACCAAAATTTTCTACTAGAGACTGAACTAGTGGATTAAAACTTACTAACTTTTGTGCCTGTTTATTCTTATGTCATTTTCACAAACCTCAGCAATATGCTTCTGTAATTACATAAAGTTCACACATTACAAAAATGGGTAAAATACATTTTCTGGGCCTGATCAGAGGGTAGATGCCCCTTTTGTACAGACTGGGCAGCCCATGGGGAGGGGCCCCAGGCTGTAGCTGGGGGACGTCACGGGGTAAAGTCAGCGCTCCCGCTGTTACCTCACCCCCCACGCCTCCCCGAGTCCCCAGCACTGGGTCCCCGGCCCACAGAGGGGTTTCGGCGCAGCTGCTCCCAGGGACCCACCTGTGCCCCGTGGAAGCCCGAGGACCTGGCTCCCCATGCTCTGAGGAACCCCCTGCACTTTCAAGGCCCCCCGACCTGGCCGTCTCCCCACAGTCAAGCAGAGCACCCCAACGCCACCCCTCAGACGCTTCATTCTCTGCGTTTGGCCTCCTGTCCTTGTCCTAGAGAACACGCCCACCGGCCCCAGCTCAGCTGCTCCCATCTGGATGCTGCTCCTCTGGGGGGGGGGAAATGCATCAGGGCAGCAGAGGCTGCGAGCACTCTCCTCCACCAGACACAGGCTCCCAACGGTCCAGCCACGGCCCTTCACACGATACACACAGACCCCCAAACTGGAAGATTGTTTGATGTTTCCAATAAATTAATCTCCCATTCCCACTTCTCATTGGTGTTCATCTCCAGATTGGACCCTGACTCACTGATTCTTTGCACTGAAGTCCACACTCAAGACTTACTGACCTAACAGTAAATGCTCTAGCACTGTGTCCTCCCTAAGGGGCTGTGCAGTGATCTGGAAGACAGAAACACGCTCTTTAACCAGGCCCTGCATCCCTTCACACGTACCTCCACGGCCAGGCCAGACGCCTGACCACTCAGGGAACGCACGGTCTGTGCTGAGGCATGGAATTACCTTCTGTGCCACAAATGGCTATAAGCACAGACAGAAGATGGGTGGGACCACATCAAACTAAAAAGCTTCTGACAGCAAAGGAATCTGTCAACATGAAAAGGCATGTACACAGCGGGAGAGAAAACTTGCAAATCAAATATTATCTGGTAAGGGGCTAATATCCAAAATATTTAATGAACTCAATAGCAAAATACAAACGATCCAATTAAAACATGGGCTGAGGACCTAAATAGGCATTTCTCCAAAGAAGCACACAGATGGCCAACAGCTATAAGAAAAGGTGCTCAACATCACTCTTCAGGGAAATGCAAATCAAAACACATGAGACATCACCTCACACCTGTCAGAACAGCTATAATAAAAAAGACAAGAGATAACAAGTGTTGGTGAGGATGTGGAGAAAAGGGAACCATTGTGCACTGATTGTGGGGATGTAAATTGGTGCAGCCACTATGGAAAACAGTATGGCAGTTCCTCAAAATATTAAAACTAGAACTACCATATGACCCAGCACTCCTACTCCTGCTTATTTATCTGAAGAAAATAAAAACACTAATTTGAAAAGATATATGCACACCAATGTTCACAGCAGTACTATTTACAACAGCCAAGATATGGAAACAAACTAAATGTCCATTGACAGATGAATGGGTAAAAAAAGATGTGATACACACACACACACAGTGGAACACTACTCAGTCACAAAGGAGGAAATGCTGCAATTTGCAACAATGTGGATGAACCTTGAGAGTATTATGCTTAGTGAAATAAGTCAGATAGAGAAAAATAAATACCTATGAACTCACTTATAGGTGCAATCTACAAAATAAAAACACAAAAAAGCAAGCTCATATATACAGAGAACAGACTGGTGGTTGTGGGGCGGGGGGGGGGCGGGGAATGGATGAAGGGGTCAAAGCTACAAGTTTGCAGTTCTAAGTAAGCCCTGAGGGTGTAATGTACAGCACTGTTACTAAAGTCAGTAATACTGTATTGAGATTTGAAAACTGCTAAGATGATAAAATTTAAAAGTTCTCATCACAAGACAAAAAACTACATGTGGTGACAGATGTTAACTAGACTAATTGTGGTGACCATCTCACAATATACAAATGTATCAAATCAGTAAGTCATACATCTGAAACTAATACATTACGTCAGTTTTTCCTCAATTAAAAAAAAACTTAAAAAAAGGAAGATGGAACTTGTCAATTGGCACTCACAAAGCAGAAGTTTATCATATTAATCACAATTAGCATGTTAAATTTATGGAAGACATTTGTAGCAACATGGATGGACTTCGAGATTATCATATTAAGTGAAGTCAGACAAAGAAAGACAAGTATCATATGATATTACTTATATGTGCAATCTAAAATATGATACAAATGAACTTACAAAACAGACACACAGACATAGAAAACAAACATCTGGTTACCAAAGGGAAAGGGAAGAGGGATAAATTAGGAGTTTGTGATTAGCATACACACTACTATATATAAAATAGATAAACAAGGTCCTACTGTATAGCACAGGGAACTATATTCAGTATTTCATAATAGATTGGTTCAAGATGGCAGAGTACAAGGACGTGCGCTTACTCCCTCTTGTGAGAGCACGGGAATCACAACTAACTGCTGAACAATCATCGACAGGAAGACACTGGAACTCAACAAAAAAGATACCCCACGTCCAAAGACAAAGGAGAAGTCACAATGAGATGGTAGGAGGGGTGCAATCACAGTAAAATCAAATCCCATAACTGCTAAGTGGGTGACTCACAGACTGGGGAACACTTATACCACAGAAGTCCACCCACTGGAGTGAAGGTTCTGAGCCCCACGTCAGGGTTCCCAACCTAGGGGTCTGGCAACGGGAGGAGGAATTCCTAGACAATCAGACTTTGAAAGCTAGCAGGATTTGACTGCAGGACTTCGACAGGACTGGGAGAAACGAGACTCCATTCTTGGAGGGCACACACAAAGTAGTGTGTGCATCGGGACCCAGGGGAAGGAGCAGTGACCCTATAGGAGACTGAACCAGACCTACCTGCTAGTGTTGGAGGGTCTCCGGCAGAGGCGGGGGGGTGGCTGTGTCTCACCATGGGGACAAGGACACTGGCAGCAGAATTTCTGGGAAGTACTCCTTGGCGTGAGCCCTCCCAGAGTCTGCCATTAGCCCCACCAAAGAGCCAGTAGGCTCCAGTGTTGGGTCGCCTCAGGCCAAACAACCAACAGGGAGGGAACCCAGTCCCACCCATCAGCAGACAAGCAGATTAAAGTTTTACTGAGCTCTGCCCACCAGAGCAACACCCAGCTCTACGCATCACCAGTCCCTCCCATCAGGAAACTTGCACAAGCCTCTAGATAGCCTCATCCACCAGAGGGCAGAAAGCAGAAGCAAGAACTACAATCCTGCAGCCTGTGGAACAAAAACCACATCCACAGAAAGATAGACAAGATGAAAAGGTAGAGGACTTTGTACCAGATGAAGGAACAAGATAAAACCACAGAAAAACAACTAAATGAAGTGGAGATAGGCAACTTTCCAGAAAAAGAATTCAGAATAATGATAGTGAAGATGATCAGGACCTTGGGAAAAAGAATAGAGACAAAGATCAAGAAGATGCAAGAAATGTTTAAAAAACACCTAGAAGAATTAAACATCAAACAGATGAACAATACAATAACTGAAATGAAAACTACACTAGAAGGAATCAATAGCAGAATAACTGAGGCAGAAGAACGGATAAGTGACCTGGAAGACAGAATGGTGGAATTCACTGCCGAGGAACAGAATAAAGAAAAAAGAATGAAAAGAAATAAAGACAGCCTAAGAGACCTCTGGGACAACATTAAATGCAACAACATTTGCATTATAGGGGTCCCAGAAGGAGAAGAGAGAAAGGACATGAGAAAATATCTGAAGAGATTATAGTCGAAACTTCCCTAACATGGGAAAGGAAACGGCCACCCAAGTCCAGGAAGTGCGGAGAGTCCCAGGCAGGATAAACCCAAGGAGAAACACACCGAGACACCTAGTAATGAAATTGACAAAAATTAAAGACAAAGAAAAATTATTGAAACCAACAGGGAAAAACGACATAACATACAAGGGAACTCCCATAAGGTTAACAGCTGATTTCTCAGCAGAAACTCTACAACCCAGAAGGGAGTGGCATGATATATTTAAAGTCATGAAAGGGAAGAACCTACAACCAAGGTTACTCTACCCAGCAAGGATCTCATTCAGATTCGTTGGAGAAATCAAAAGCTACAGACAAGCAAAAGCTAAGAGAATTCAGCACCATCAAACCAGCTCTACAACAAATGCTAAAGGAACTTCTCTAAGTGGGAAACACAAGAAAAGAAAAGGATCTACAAAAACAAACCCAGAACAATTAAGAAAATGGTCATAAGTACATATCGATAATTACCTTAAAAGTGAATGGATTAAATGCTCCAAGCAAAAGACACACGCTCGCTGAATGGATACAAAAACAAGACACATATATATGCTGTCTACAAGAGACCCACTTCAGACCTAGGGACACATTCAGACTGAAAGTGAGGGGATGGAAAGAGATGTTCCATGCAAATGGAAATCAAAAGAAAGCTGGAGTAGCAACTCATATCAGATAAAACAGACTTTGAAATAAAGAATATTACAAGAGACAAAGAAGGACACTACATAATGATCAAGGGATCAATCCAAGACATAATAATTAGAAATATATATGC